ATGTTATCTCCGATTAGGGTTTAATCTCCAACATTTACAGGGAACTCATACAACTTAACAAAAGGACATACAGAAGGCCATATGAAAACATGCTTAAAGTCACTAATTATCCGAGAAATGCAAATCAAAACAACAATGAGGTACCACCTCACACCTGTCAGAATGGCCAACATCAACAAATCAACAAACAACAAGTGCTGGCGAGGATGCGGAGAAAAAGGAACCCTTGTGCACTGCTGGTGAGAATGCAGACTGGTACAGCCATTATGGAAAACAGTATGGAGTTTCCTTTAAAAATTGATAATGGAACTGCCATTTGACCCAGTTATCCCACTTCTAAGAATATATTCCAAGAAATCAGAAACACCAATCAGAAAGGATATATGCACCCCTATGTTCATAGCAGCACAATTGGCCATATCTAAAATTTGGAGACAGCCTAAGTGCCTATCAGCAGGTGAGTGGATAAGAAAACTGTGGTACACCTACACAATGGAATATTACGCTGCTGTAAAAGGAAGGAATTCCTACCATTTGCAACAGCATGGATGGACCTGGAGAGCATTATGATAAGCGAAATAAGCCAGTCAGAGAAAGATAAATATCACATGAACTCACTCATTTGTGAAATATAATAAACAACATACACTGATGAACAAAAATAGATCCAGAGACATAAAAGCATCAAACAGACCATTAAAGCTCAGAGGGAAGGCAGAGGAGGGCGAGGGGTGGGATAAGAGACCAACCAAAGGACTTGTATGCATGCATATAAGCATAACCAACGGACACAGACTATAGGGTGGTGAGGGCATGTGCTGGGCGTGGGAGTGGCCAGGGAGAGGTCAGTGGGGGAAAAGGGAGACATCTGTATTACTCTCAACAATAAAAATACATTTTACAAAAACAAAACAAAACAAAAAAGTGGCTACGACAGTAATGCCCTATGTTTCTGTGTAAGAGGCGATAAGACTCTAAAGTGGAACAGTTTCCACGGTGGTAAGATCCAAGGTGTAGGTCATGTAAAGTCAAGGCTATGGTCGGAGTGGACAAGGTGAAACAACTGGGAAACCGAGTACTGAGCCCAGCCCAAGTTGCTCAGTGGTTGAGCGTCCACCCATGAACCAGGAGGTCATGGTTAGATTGCTGGTCAGGGCACATGCTGGGTTGTGGGCTCGATCCCCAGTAGAGGAAGGAGCCAATCAATGATTCTCTCTCATCATTGATGTTTTTATCTCTCCCTTTCTCTTCCTCTCTGAAATAAATAAAAATATTAAAAAAAAAAAAAAGAAATTGTGTATTGAAAAGTCATTTGCAAGATGTGTATAAAAATACTCATAGGAGATAGATTTATAATAGCCCAAAAAAAAGAAATACCCCAATTGTACATAACGAAGTGAACAGGTAAAGAAACTATATAATCTAATACTACTCAACAATGAAGGAACAAGCTGCTGGTATGTGCAACAACAGAGGTAAGTGTCACAGGCATTGCGCGGAGTGGAAGAAGCCGGGCACGAGAGAGCATACCATAGGAATCCCATTTACATGAGGTTCAAAAATAAATTAAACTAATCTATAGGGGCAAAAGTCAGTGGCTTCTGGAATGTGAGGGGTTGACCAAAAATGGGCATGGGAAAGATTCTGGGGTGATGGGAATGGGCTACATCTCATTGCAGCATTGTTGACATATATTTGCCAGAGTTCATCAAACTGTACGCTTATTATCTGTGAATGTTACTGTATATAACATATCTAAGTGTTTAAAATGTCATCTATCCTGTCCTAGCCGGCTTGGCTCAGTGGTCTGCAGACGGAAAGTCCCTGGGTGTTAATTCTGATCAAGGGCACATGCCTGGGCTTCGGGCTCCACCCCCAGTGTGGAGGGTGCAGGAGGCAGCTGATCAATGATTCTCTCCATCACTGATGTTCCTGTCTCCCTCTCCCTCCCTCTCTGAAACCAATGACATATATATAAATATGTCATCCACCTGGACATTAGGTCTTGATGACAGGGGTTGAAACAAAGGAAATGGAGAGGCAGGTGGCAGCGCTCGTGAACTGCGGAAGCTGGACAAGGCCACGGGGAGAACGAAGGCGCAGGGCAATGCCGTGAGCCCACAGGAGAGTCGTGGCCGGAGGTGGAACGTACGCGCTGGAACCGTTGATTCGTTTGGGGAGGTTTTTAAGGACGTGGCCAGAGAAGTCGCCCACGTCGCACCCCTGCCAACACTCAGAGGAGGAGGCGCCGCTGAGGCGGGATCCCCGTGCAGGGTCCCGGGGTCCCTTTGGGGCTGTCGCCTCTTCGCCTGCTTGGAGCTGTGTTGGGAACTTGCTGGTTCTGACCACACTCCCGTCAGCACACGGCTGGTGTTGAAGTGGTTAGACCGGAGACATGCGCATGAACTTTACAGCTTTTCTTTTAAAAGATGTTTTTCTTGATTTCAGAGAGGAAGGGAGAGGGAGAGAGAGATACAAACATCAGTGATGAGAGAATCACTGATCAGCTCCTACCCCTCTCTCTTCCTCTCTGTAAAAAAAATCAATTAAAAAAATATATATATATAGCCAAAACCGGTTTGGCTCAGTGGTAGAGCGTCGGTCTGCAGACTGAATGGTCCTGGGTTCGATTCCGGTCAAGGGCGTGTACCTCGGTTGCGGGCACATCCCCAGTGGGGGGTGTGCAAGAGGCAGCTGGTCGATGTTTCTCTCTCATCGACGTTTCTAGCTCTCTGGTTTTCTCCCTTCCTCTCTGTAAAAATCAATAAAAGATATTTAAACAGTTAAAATATATATATATATAAAAAGATTCCATCCTTGTGTTGACTGAGTTACTTTGTACGCAGTTTCCGTCCTGCAAGCTGAAGTTCCCAGAGCGTCTCAGAGTTACTGAGAGGCCCACGCACGTCCCAGGGTTAGTCTAGACCAGCGTTTCCAAAAGTGCGGTCCGCGTGCCCCCCGGGGCACGGGAAGAGTCTGGTGGGGTACGAGTTGCACCGGAGTTTGGGGGGATATGCACTGCACCGTGCTTACCTGCGCCTAATTCTACGTTCTCCTGCGTACGAGGGGTACTCAGCGTTACGAAAATTATAGAAGGGGTGCACGAATGTCCGAAGTTTGGGGAACACTGGTCTAGACCATGAGATCTGCGCGTTGTCTTTGGAATTGACAACAGTTTGGGCACTGAAAGCCGAGGGAGAGGAAAGAGGAAGCGAGAAAGGCCCCTTCAGCTCAGGCCCCTGTGACTGGCCATCCCAGCCCGGGCCTGGCGGCACCGCAGGCTCTGGAGGGAGGAAGCCGCCCCCACTTCACGGACGCGGCGGAACCAGGGCTCCAGGAGGCTGCTCCCGCCGCCGCCCCTGTCCGGAGTTGAGTAGAAGACAGTTCTCTCTACATTGACTCTGGCAGGTGACAGGTGTGGGCAGGACAAGGCAAGGTGAGGCCAGGGCAGAGCCAGGTCAGGGAGCCCTCTTGGTGCCTCCGGCCCCTCCTGCTCCACGACCAGCAGGGGGCAGACCTCGCGCAGCGGCGGCTCCGTCCACCGCGGGCGGCGGAGGCAGGGAGTGGCAGCCTGCTGGTCCGGGTGGTTCTGAGAAGTTACATCCGCTCTGCCAGTTTGCCGGGCGCTGGCCTTGAGAGGGCAGGGCGGGGTGAGGGGGCAGGCGGGGCGAGAGGGCAGGTGGATCTCATAAACTCCCCCAAAATGTCAGATCAGGGCACCGGGAAGGAGGAACTTTATGCACCCTTCAGAAGTGCAAACGGTCCCATGATTGGGCCTATTAAGTCTCAAGACAAGGGGGGAAATGAGAGGGCAGGGCGGGGTGAGGGGGCAGGCGGGGCGAGAGGGCAGGTGGGGTGAGAGGGCAGGGTGGGGCGGGTTCAGCTCCAGGTAACTGGACCCTAGGTCTAACCCAACCAATCAGGTCAGCCAAGGTAGCAGCACCACCCTCCCTATAAAACCCATTGATATGTTAAGTTCTTTCTCTTTCTCGCCCATGCCCTCGTTGGTGTAGGTGAGACTGGGCTCGGACTAGTCCGAAATAAATACAGACTCTCTGCAATTGCATCGGATTCGGCTCCCTGGTAGTCTTTGGGGTTTATGACACTTGGGCACAACAGCCTCTGCGCCCAGCCAGCCTCCAGGCCGCGGCCTCCACCGCGAGAGGACTGCTCCTCCACGCAATAGGGCAACCCCGGGGGCAATCCACAAAGCAGCGCGTCAATCTCACGGATCACAGCATGGAGGAGCCAGAGAAAGTGGGTGGTCCTCGCAGCTCTGCCGCCCGCGGTGCCAGGCTCCCGCACTAACCCCCCCTCCGTAACCGCGAGCTGCATGCAGCACACCGTGTCCTTCATGTGTGCGCGCACACCCGTGCTGTGCAGTGCACACAGGTCTCGGCTGTGCTGGGTAAATGGCGTCGCGGCTGGGCGGTCCGTCCCCGGAGACTGGAATATGAAGGGTCAGGCTTCTCCGTCGGCCGCACTCACCCCGCCAAACCTCCAGCTCTAAGTTCAACAGGAGCCGAGCCCCGAGCAAACCTTGTCACCACACCAATCCGCTGGGCTTACAGCCCCTGGCAGGCAGACCTCCGGAGCCGCGGAGGTGGGATTCCAGGGGAAGAATGGGTGGGGCCGGCACCGGTGAAAGCAGGGGGAAGCGGGCTCGCTCGGGCCAGGAGGGCTCGGAGGCCTGCTGGGTGAAGGGCTGGTCTTCTCGAACATCGGAAATGGGGGAACCACATCCTGGTCTCACTTGCCAGGCCTCCACTCCCGCTCAACACTTCAGCCACCTGCCCACAGGCTGCCCCGCCTCCGCAGGGGCCTCTCCCCTCGGCCATGCACTTCCTGCCCACGGTGCCAGGAGGCCAGGTCCTCGGGGAGAGGGGGAGTCCTGTGTGTCACAGAAGGCTTTACGGCATTCAGTGACCGAGGCTTGCTCAGCGGTCGCTCCTCCTCCGCCAGCCTCGCTGCTCAGGCCCCTCGATGGAATGCCCTCCGGCATGGCCTGGATGCTGCTGCTGGCCTTCACCACGCTCCCCCCAGGTGATGGCTTCCTCCAGGACCCAGGGGTGTGGGCCGGGGGTGGGGTCCGGGATCCGAGGAGGCTGGCTAGAGATACTTGGAGAGCAGGCTTGGTGGGGCTCCATCTTTTTAAAAATATATATATTTTATTGATTTTTTACAGAGAGGAAGGGAGAGGGATAGAGAGTTAGAAACATCGATGAGAGAAAAACACCAATCAGCTGCCTCTTGCACACCTCCTACTGGGGATGTGCCCGCAACCAAGGCACATGCCCTTGACCGGAATCGAACCTGGGACCCTTCAGTCCGCAGGCCAACAATGCTCCATCCACTGAGCCAAACCGGTTAGGACAGGGCGCTGCATCTTGAGCCCTGACACTGGGAGCTGACAGGGGAACTACCTGCTTGATTGCCTCCCGGCTGCCTGCTGGCACGGTCACGGTCACGGTCACGCCCGGCTTCCACCCGGAGCTCCTTTCTTCCCAGCCACCCTCTTCATAAGATAAAGTTGAAAGATCCAGCAAAATTGGCTTGAAGTGGTCACTTTCTTTAAAGGGGTCAGTTTTAATTTGATGAGTTTGTATCTCGGTGTAGAGATAATTAGGAGCGCGGGAGACCTCATTAAATCTAATTTTCCTAGTGAAACTGACCTTAGTTCACTGAGAGGCCCTCTGTCAGACCTATTCCTGGACTCAGAACTGTAGCTGCAGATCTGCTGGTTCCGGGTCCCTCCACCCACTCCGGACCCACCGATAAAACCCTCGGGCTGGGGCCGGGGCCCGGATCAACAAAACGGTAGGTGCTAGCAAGTTTGAGAGCCACTGAAACGGAAGGAGGCCTGATAATTTCACTGACTCGAGAATTTAATTGGGGATTTTAAGAATTGGTTCAATGCGTCAGTTCAGACCAGTTACGTGCGGATCTCAGTGACAGCCAGGTCCTCCCCTGGAGACATAAACACTCGGTGCTCCAACTGCACACAAAGCAGCAGGCGGCACGACTGCCGGGCGGCAGAGGTGCCTGGACAGAGGCGGTCAACGCCACCGGCCCCGTGTCCCGTGTCGGAGCCTCAGCAGGAAGCGCAGCCCGAGCTGGTCCAGGGAAGGACCAGCCGGTCAGCAGCTCTCTTAGACAGAGGCTTGTGAGGAGGGGCTCACAGGCGCCCTCAGGCTGGCGCTCTGTCTGGGAGGCACTGACCTGGGTCTTCTCTGCCCCCAGCGCCCTGTGCTCTCCGGGTGTCCCAGCCCCCTGAGGTCCGCGCCCAGGAGGGTGCCACTGTCCTCCTGCCCTGCTCCTTCAACGCCAGCTCAGGGACGGCGGCCATCGGCTCTGTCACGTGGTACCGGGACACGGTGGCCCCGGGGAAGGAAGTGAGGAATGGGACCCTGGAGTTCAGGGGCCGCCTGGCCCCTCTGGCCTCTTCCCGCTTCCTCCGAGACCACCAGGCGGAGCTGCGCATCTGGGATGCCCGAGGCGGGGACGCCGGCCTGTACGTGTGCAGGGTGCAGGTGCTGGGCCTGGGTGTCGGGACCGGGAACGGGACTCTGCTGGTGGTGGAGACAGGTGAGCCCCCCGCCCCCACCCCGGCCGGAGGCTCCACGAGAGCCCTTCCCGAGGCTCCGGCTGCCGGCCCTCCCGCGCACCCCTCTTCCCCAGGCCCCTCACCGAGCCCTTCTCCGCCACCGCGTGCAGGACCGCCCGGGACAGGGGCCCTCACAGCCCTCCTCCTTCGGGCCGGATTCTGTGCCTTCAGTTTCCTCTCGGTGGCCGTGGGCAGCACCATCTATTACCACAGCAGGAGTGAGCCAGGGAGCGGGATCGTGGCCAGAGAAGGAGCAGCGAGCGAGCTGGAGGGCGGAGAGGAGGCCACGGCGAGAGGAGGGTCCCAGCCACCTCACAGCCAGGCCACTGCCGCCTGGGACACTGCCACCTCTTGGATGCCTCTGAGTGACTCCAGACCCCAGTGACCCCAGCTCTTCAGGGGACCCCAATAAATTGGCCCACCACTAACTTCCAACGAGTCTGTGTTTCCTTCCCCACCCCCCAGCACCCCAGTGTGCCCCTCTCTGGGTTCTAGGAATGTCCAAGGAGGAGCTGCCCAGCAATTGTGCCTGGACCTCCCGCCCCTCTGCCTGGGGCTCGGCAGGAAGTGACCCAGCTCCCCCAGCCCAGGAGGCAGAGGCGGTCCTGGGAAATGAGGGCTGTCAAATCAGATTGGTCCAGTTGTCAACTGTCCGCAGACAAGTACAATAGTCTCCCCAGGGGGGTATCTTCCAAGACCCCTCATGGATGCCTGAGACGGTGGTGGGAACTGAGCCTCTATATGCTGTGGCTTTTCCTGTACATTCATGCCTAAGATGAAGTTTAATTTATAAGTTAGGCATGGTAAGAGGTTAACGACGATGATAAAATAGGACGATTGTAACAATATCCTCTATAATAAAAGCCTAGTATGCAAATTGTCCCCTTGCCTGGGAGTTCGCCCATTTCTACCACTCGCTATGATGTGTGCTGACCACCAGGTGGCGGTGTGGAACACGGTGGGCCTCTGTGACACAGCACTGGCAGTGGGCGGCAGTGTAGGTGCTGCTGGCCCAATGAGCTTAGACAGGACCGCAGGGGGTGGTGGGACAGGTGAGCAGGCAGTGCCAGGCCCAGGCGGTGTGGGTGGGGCCCGATTGCCACACAGATGGCGACCAGCGGTGGTGGCGGTGGGTGGGGCCGCCGCCTGGCTCCCAGATGCTGAGAGGGCCAGGCGGGGGTCCCATGACTCAGGCAGAGGGGGGTGCATAGGGCTCTGGGGGACCAGGTGCTGCCCTGGGCACAGAGGTCAGCTGGGACCTGCCCTTCCACACCAGATCTCCTGCTTCGATTGCTGGCCAGCCTGGGGACCGCACCTGTGCAGCAAGGTTGTGCACCAGGCCGCCAGCACTGTAAGATAAATGATGTGGCTGCTTCCCTCTCTCATGGTACCCTATTGCCCGATACTCGCCCTGCTTCCTGTGATGCAGGATACGGTGCCGGCTGTGTGTGGAGGGAGTGCGGTGGATGACCTGGGCCCTGGGCTGCGATGGGGGGACGTGGACACAGCACAGGGACACCTCCACTGTGGATCTCGCCACCTGGCTGGCCACTAAGTGCCGAGGCCAGGAGGCCCCGGGTGGGTTCGCCGGGCACGCAGAGAAGCCATGCCTGGCGCATGGAGCGGGATAGAGATTGCATCACACTACTCAGAATGGTGCGCAACTTCAAACTCAGGAGTTATTTATTTCTGGAATGTTCCATTTACTATTTTCTGGCTGTGGGTAACCGGACCAGCGTTTCCACTGTGTCAAAGCCAAACCGTGGATAAAGGAGGGACTATTGCCTTCTTTTCAAGCCTCCAGGGAGCCTGGCCCCTCGACACCCTACGTGAGCCCCGAGGGTGGGAAGGGAAGTCACGAGGTCTGGTGGTGGCGGTGCTGAGGGGCCTGAGGTGGACGGAGCGCGACACAGGAAGCTTGAGACCAAGGTGCTTCCTGGGGGTGCGCGGCGGGGCGCTGCTCAGGCGGGCTTCTGGTCAGCGATGAAGGAGTAGTCGGTGGCGGGGTCCTGCGGGGGGCCCCGTTCCCGGCTGCAGGGCAGCCGCTGCAGAGACGCGTAGTGGAGATCCGCCTGCTCGGGGAGCTGGGCCTGGGCCTGGCCGGGCAACAGGCTGGAGGGTCACGGCCGCTCCCAGCCTCCCTGTGAGCTCTCGGCCCACCCCACCTCCTTACTTCATTACCCCTCAGCCGCCTCCTCCCTCCTCCTCCTCCCCCTCCTCCTCCTCTCCTTCCCCTCCTCCCTCCCTCCCTCCTCCTCCCCCTTCTCCTCCCTCTCTCTCCTCCTCCTCTCCCTCCTCCTCCTCCCTCCCTCCTCTTCCCACTTCTCCTCCCTCTCTCTCCTCCTCCTCCCTCCCTCCTCCCCCTCCCCCTCCTCCCTCCCTCCTCCCCCTCCTCCCTCCCTCCTCTCCCTCCCCCTCCCCCTCCTCCCTCCCCCTCCCCCCTCTTCTCCTCCTTCCCCCTCCCCCTCCCCCTCCCTCCTTCCCTCCCTCCTCCTCCCCCTTCTCCTCCCTCTCCCTCCTCCTCCTCTCCCTCCTCCTTCTCCTCCCTCCCTGCTCCCCCCCAGTCCTCAGCTTGGGTTCTTCCCCTCATCGCCCTTCCTTGTGCAGGTCTCACTCTCCCCCCTCTTACTCTGTCTTGGTGTCTGTTTCCTTCCTTCTCTCTGACTTTCTCTTTCACTCTTCGTCTCTCTCATTTCTGCCTCCCTCTCACTTTTCTCTTATTTCCTCTTTCTATATCCGTATTTCCTCTTCCTATATCTGTACCATTTCTTTTCTATTTCCTACTCATTCTCTTATTTCTCTTTTTGCCTCTTATTTTCTCACTGATGCAGCCCTGCTTGCTCTCTCCTCCCACCTCCCCATCCCCGTTCAGCCCCTCCTGTTGCCCCTCACCCACGTCCCTGGCCCCAGACTCACCCAGCTCCTCTCCAGCTTCCTCACTGGAAGAAAGGCAGCAGCTCAGTGAGACCCAGCCCCGGCCCGGCCCCCGCAGCTGTGGCCCCTCACTCTGCCTCCCCTGGGGTTCCCATAGCCAAGCCTGGCCTCTCCATTCGGACAGCCCCCCCAGCTTCTCCCTTCCTCCCCAGGGGTGTCAGGGCTGAGGGGCGCCGGGATAGCAGCAGGAAGGGGGCGGGGCCGCCCGGGGCATTGCGGGGGGGGGGGGGGTGTGAGAGGGTCAGGGCAGCTCACCTCTCCTATGGAGCCGACACAGACAGGCGAGCAGAATGACCACAGCCACAGCCAGGAGCCCCCCCAGCCCCAGGGCCGCATAGGAGAAGGCAGCTGGGGAAAGGGGTGCGTGTGAGCGCCCCTTCCCGCTCCAGCTCATCCCACCGCCGGCTGGCCAGGACCTCAGCAGCTCCCCTGGCAGTTTTAGAGGCATAAGAGCAGGCCCTGTGCCCATAACCTGGCTTCTGGCAGAGGCACGCCCTCCATCCCTCTAACCCCTGACCCCGGGGCGCCGTCCCTCTAACCCCTGACCCCAGGGCACCGTCCCTCTAAACCCTGACTCCGATCACCCTCGGAGGCTCCCACTGCCGCCCCCCTGTGGCCCCCCAGTCCCTGGCCCGCTGCCCCCGGCCTGCACCCCGCTCTGTCCGCGCTGTGCCTGGGCCCGGGCGAGGCCGCCTCACCTGAGAGGACATCAGCACCTTCCATGAGGCCACAGGAGACCGGTTGGAGGGAGGCAGACTGGCCCCTGCCCAGCGGCCTAGGTGGCCTGGGCGAGTCACGTGCCTCAAGTTCCTCATCGGTCAAGTCTGCCTCTGGCGGTCTCCTTAGGCCCAGCGGCCTCGCTCTGCCCAGCCCTGACCTGGCACTTCCCTTCCCGTCACTGCTCCTCTGTGCAGCATGGGAAGGGCTACAGTGCCCGCTCTGACCCCCTCCCCCCTCCCCCCGACGGTGGCGCCTGGGCCTCTGCAGCCCAGCAGTTCTGGGTTCGGTTCAGGAAGAGCAATGGTGGGAGGAGCCGGGTGTGGCGAAATGTGGGACCGGAGGGAGGGCGTGGGGACCGGAGGGAGGGCAGCGAGCAGCGTCCAGGAGCGAGTATGTCTTGGGAAGAGGGAGACAGACACCACAGCACCTCCCCGGTGACCCTGCTGCTGGCTGTGCCCATCACTGTGCTGGCCGTGCTGGCAGCTTGGCAGGGCGGGCACATCCCGCTGGCGAGGGCAGGAGCCTCTGGGGCCCCCAACTTTCCTCCAGGCTTCCTGCCGCAGCCGTGGTTCCTGTCTGAGGGCAGAGGGAGGCCTCGGCCTTCACCCCGGCCGGATGCACCGCCCGGGGGGGGGGGGACGGCCTCCTGGGCCCCAGAGGAACTGCCGTGTGGGGCGGGTGTGGAGCAGAGGCCCGGGGGCAGGAGGCGCCAGCGGCCAGGAGGGAGGGCTGCTTTCCCCGCAGGACTCCTCTGGCCCGGGAGCCTCAAAGCCATGCTCTCCCACTGCTCACAGCCTCACCTCACTCTGGGGTGCCGGTCCGCTCCCCCTGCCCCATCCCTGCTCTCTCCCAGCTCCCCCAGAGCCATGGCCTGCAGGTGGGGGGGGCAGGAGGGGGCAGAGGGGGCGGGGGTGACTCTAGAGGACAGGACAGCCGGCAGACAGCCTAGCGAGCGGCCCGGGGAAGCACGTGCTCACCGCAGGCATCCCCCCTTCACCTTCTCCCTCAGCCTCCGTGTCTCCCAGCAGCCTTAGAGGGGAGCTGGGCTTTGAGGGTTAGGCTGGGACATCCTTCCTTTCAGACCCTGGACGGGACGGAGCACCTGCTCGGCTCCAGCCGTCCCACTGACCCTGCAAGGAGCCGGCGCCTTCGCCTCCTCGGCTGCCCGGACCACTTTCCCAACGCTCCCCACTCCGCCTCCCCGCAGCGCGGCCACGGGGGGGGGGGGGGGGGCGGGCGCACACCTGCTCCCGCATCACGGGGGCTCTGGGGGTTGCAGGGTGGCTCACTGGTGTTTGGGCCCCTCCCCCCTTTCTCTCGCAGGGTGCATGGCTGGCTGATTTACAAACCGCAAAGTCAAGGGCAGCCAGAATAAGTCTGATGGGCACTGCTGTTGGACCCAGGGTTGCTGACTGGCTAGAGTTGGGAAGATCCAGGGTCCCAGGAGGGGTGGCGTCCGGTGGACTTCCTGGGCAGTAGCATGCCGGGGGTGGGGGGAGCCACGGGGTAAGCCAGCAGTAGTCGGAGGCCCTCTGAGCAGAGCCTGGACGAAGGCTCCTGGCGCCCTGGGTGGAGAGGGTGCGCCCTGGGCCTGGAGCCTGAGGCGAAGCCCGGGAGCTGGGCAGGCCGGCCCAGGTCCGCTGCCTGGGTCCACATGCAAATTCAGAAACTTTCTCTACTTCCTCCCTCTCCCTCCACAGTGCTCCTCACTGCAGGGCAGTGGGACAATATTCAGTTTCATTAAAAAAAACAAAAAAAAAAAACTTATTAAAAACTTTAGAGAAAAATGGGAAGAACTCAACAGTGAATCTGTCCCCACCACCTAGATTCTATAATACAATTAGCTTTTTTCTACATTTGCTTTATCACTTATGGCTCATCTCGTTATTGGATACCTTTCAACGCTGCAAACATCGGTGCATCCCATCTCTAACCTCCCTGCTGTGTTTATCTCGCACGGGTCCAGCGTCTGCTTCTCCATTCTGTTTTGGAGGCTGAGGGAGGTGGCGTCTGCGTGCAGTGAGGTATACAGATCTGAAGCCAGCACTTAGCTTCTCAATATCTCGTGGTCAAGGCTCTGAAGCCAGACTGCCTGGGTTTCAAATCCCGACACTACCGTTACTGTGTGACCTTTCACAAGCTCCTTAACCTCTCTGTGCCTCTTCCAGGATTTTTGTCAGGATTAAATTATTATGTATATAAAGTGTGTAGATCCGTGGCAGGCACATGCTGAATGCTATTTGCCTATATATATATTTAAATCTATTTTTATTGATTTCAGAGAGGGAGAGATAGAAACATCGATGAGAGAATCCTTGATTGGCTGCCTCCTGCATGTTGTACGGAGCCCGCAACCCTTGACTGGAACTGAACCTGGGACCCTTTTGTCCGCAGGCCGACGCTCTATCCACTGAACCACACCGGCTAGGGCCCAATAGGGCCCAATAGCTACATTACTGTTGTTATCCAAACACACACATGCCCTTGCGAAGGGGGATGATGTGCAACCACCTGACTTCCTGGGCCGGGCCTTTCCCTCAGCCCCTACATCAGCCCCGCGTTCTGCACTGTCCACCATAGCATGGTGCATAGTGCTGCTCGGCCTCCTCATTCCCTTGTCATTTCTTCATAACATTTGGTCAGCACCTGCTCCACGGCGAGGACTCCTGGGTGCCACGCTCTGGGGGGTGCCCAGGGAGGCGATGCCCCCCAACCACCTCAGCGAGCAGGAGCCGTGAGGCAGCCCCCTCAGCTGCCATCGCTGCCAGTTCTGGGCCTGGGGGGAGCGTGGGGATCGAGGTCGGCCCAGGGCGGGGATAGCTCTTCTCAGGGACATCTATCCCTCAAGACCCCCGTTCTGGACCTCAGGGTTGGGGTGCAGCACCCGCCTTAGCTTTTTTAGGGCTGCAGGCTGGGCATTGGGAGTTCTGTGCTCTCACTGCAGCTCTGCTGCCAGGCTTTCTGCAGGCCACCTGCCCTGCCCGGCAGCGCAGCCCTCCGGAGCCCCGAGGCCCCTAAGGCCCCCTCCACTCGTACCCGGAAAGCTGCCTCCTCCCTCCACTCCTTCCCCAGTTCAAGGAACCCAGCATCCAGCTGCCCCACCCCAGCTCTGGGTAAACAGGAAGCTGGGTGAGGGGAGCAGGGCGTGTGGAAAGTCCCAGCCAGGTGTGTGGGTCCATGGGGGGGTGGCCCCACCCCTGAGATATGAAAGCCCCCCTGCCCTGGCCCTGGCTCAGTCTCAATGGGGGCCCTGGGGCTGGAGAGCTGGGGGAGGAGGCCCCAGGGGAAGAGCTGCCTCCTGCTGGCCGTGGCAGGAGCCGCCTCCCTGGTGACCCTGCTGCTGGCTGTGCCCATCACTGTGCTGGCCGTGCTGGTCGTGGCGCCCCCGAAGCCAGGGCTGGTGAGTGCTGCTCCCGCTCCGCTGGCTGTGCCGGGGCTGGCCCGCCGGCCTCCGGAGCCGGTCCTTCCGTGCTCCTGACGCTGCGCCTCCTGAGGTCGCCAAGCCCTTCCTGGCCGTCTCCCTCCTCCCCTTCCCAAGCATACTCGCTCCTGTCGCTTGCTCTCCCCTCCAGGGAGGCGGTGCTGGCTGAGGCTGGGTCTACAGGGGAGGGTGGGTTGGCATCAGCTAGACTGACCTCTGGGCACTGCGGCCCTCCCTCCCCGTCCAGGTGGCAGAGCCCCCTGACCCCGGGGCACGAGCACTGGCCCAGCGGCGACCCGGTAAGAGCTCCCCCGCTCCAGCTCCCCGGGCTCCTCGCCCCATCCACCTGCGCCCCCAGATGCACTCCGCTCCTCGGGGACGGGCCTCTCCCTGGCCGCCGCCCAGCCCTGGGGGGGGGAGGCAAGCGTGGCGGCCCTGCCCCAATCCTGGGCTCTCGGTCCGTCCAGGGTCCCAGGAGCTGCCGGAGCAGGACGCAGAAACCGACCCCAGCCCCGGGCCCCCGGCCGCCCACCTCATCGGTAAGGACGGGGCAGACGGCCGGCCGCCCTGCCCGCCGCGGGGAGCCCGGGTCCCGCCGGGCGGCGCCAGCCCCACGGCTCGGCGCCCGCGCCCCGAGGAGCCCCCTCCCCCTTCCCTTCCTCCCCGTCCCTTCCCTCCCCCTCCCCCCCGCCCCCGGCCGGCCCGGACCAGCGCCTCCCCCTCTCTCCCGCAGGCGCCTGGACGCGCGGCGGCGGGCTGGGCTGGGAGGCGGCGCAGGAGGAGGCGTTCGTGCGCAGCGGCGCGCGCTTCGGGGCGGCGGGGCTGGCGCTGCCGCGCGACGGGCTGTACTTCCTGTACTGCCACGTGGGCTACCGCGGCCGCGCGCCCGCCGGCCCGCCGCCCGCGCGCGCGCTCACGCTGCACAGCCGGCTGTTCCGCGCGGGCGGCGCCTACGGCCGCGGCGCCCCGGAGCTGCTGCTGGAGGCGGCCGAGACCGTGCGGCCGGGCGACCGCGCGGACGCGGCCGGGCGCCTGTGGTACGCCAGCGTGGGCGTGGGCGGCCTGGCGCGGCTGCGGCGCGGCGAGCTCGTCTTCGTCAACGTCAGCCACCCCGAGCTGGTGGACGCGCGCCGCGGCAAGACCGGCTTCGGGGCGGTGCTGGTGGGCTGACCGGGGCGAGGCCGGCTCCGGGGCGGTGCTGGGGGCTGACCTGGGGGGCGGGGGCGGTGCTGGGGGGCTGACCCGGGGGGCGGGGGCGGTGCTGGGGGGCTGACCCGGGGGGGGGCGGTGCTGGGGGGCTGACCTGGAGGGCGGGGGCGGTGCTGGGGGCTGACCTGGGGGGCGGGGGCGGTGCTGGGGGGCTGACCCGGGGGGCGGGGGCGGTGCTGGGGGGCTGACCCGGGGGGGGCGGTGCTGGGGGGCTGATCCGGGGGGCGGTGCTGGGGGGCTGACCCCGGGGCGCCGGAGGGGGGCGGGGCGCACAATAAAGAGCCGCGGCGGCGAGCCCACGAGCCCACGTGTCTGTCCGGTTGCTTGGGGCTCTGCGTGCCCCGCGACGCTCGACCCAGCGGGGCTCCCCGGCGGCCCCCTCTGCCCCAACGGCCTCGCCCGCATTGGCCCGGCCGAAGGGTAGAAGGGAGGGGATCGCCCACACCCCATAGCTTCTCCCAGCACCTGTTCCAGAGCCGCATGGCCCCCCCAACACACACACACACACACACACACACCCCTCCCTCCTCCCGTCCCTCCCAGCAGGGAGCGCTCGGTGCCGGACAAGGACCCGGCGAGCTCAGCAGAAAGGCCCCGCGCAAGGGCAGCCCTGAGATGCTGGGGGCAGAGGAGCGGCGACGCTGGGCTGCAGGGGGGAGGCTGAGGAGGAGAGAGGGCTTGGGATGGTGTCTGGGGACTCAATGGAGAACCTGAGGAGGAGGGAGGGAGGAGGAGGAGGAGCAGGAGGGGGAGGAAGAGCAGGAGGAGAAGGGAAGGAGGAGGAGAGGAGCAGGAGGAGAAGAGGAGCAGGAAGAGGAAGGGAGGAAGAGGAGGGGAGGAGGAGGAGAAGGGGAGCAGGAGGAGGAGAAGGGGAGGAAGGAAGAGCAGAAGGAGGAGAGGAGGAGGAGGGGAGGAAGGAGAGGAGCAGGAGGAGGGGAGGAGGAGCAGAAGGAGGAGGAGAAGGGGAGGAGGAGAGGAGAAGGGGAGCAGGAGGAGGAGAAGGGGAGCAGGAGGAGGAGAGCAAGAGGAGGAGAAGGGGAGGGGAAGGAGGAGGAGGAGAAGGGGAGGAAGAGGAGAAGGAGAGGAGGAGGGGAGCAGGAGGAGGAGGAGGAAAGGATGATGCCTCCTGCAGGGATGGAAAGTTCTCACCTCTGTCGCACTTCAGGCCCCCTTCCCGGAGGGGCAAGTGTGGGGGCCTGGGGTGAGTAACTGCAGCCCTCTCACCCCATGACTGACTTTCAGCCCCGAGGGGAGGCGGAGGGGGCCCCAAGGCCCTATCTAGGTCACCCCAGTGGGTCACCCGCCCTGGCACACCGCAGGTTTCCCCTGCCTGCTGTCGCCGGTATTTCATTTCTTCACTCTATCATTTCCTCTTTGGTCAGGATTTTTCTCTTAGGAAACATCGTACATCAAACAAAACATGTTAAAGTCCCGATGTCAGGTGGCAGTGCCCTCCTTGGACCTGGCACGGCCTCAGAACGGGGTGTGGCGGAGACATGCTTGCCAAACGAGTTTGCAGTCAGCTCGGCATCTGCGCCGATTTTGAGTGGAAGCGTTCGGAAAGGACCGGTTGAGATATTACCAACATACACGAGTCTCAGGGACTAGGTCAGGTCAGCTGAACAGGTGCCTCTCCTTTTAGGAGGCCATGATGCTGTGGCTCCCAAAATCGCTGGCAGGCCTCTGGTGCGAATTACCAGGTATTTACAACGACACGTCTCCATGGAAACCAAAGAAAACTGTAGCCATGGGCGCTCCGGCGCTCTGAAGGCAGCCAGGCCCGCGTCCGGACCTCTGGCCCCCGGGGCGCTCCGTGGGAGCCGAGGCTGACCGCCCTGCCGGCAGTTTGCTGTCCGGTGCTCCCGCTCCACCTGCCAGGAAGTGGCTTTCGCCACTCATCCGATAAAGCTTCCGAGATGCTGCGAGGGTCTGGCTGGCGGTGCCAACGGCTTCGTTGGTTTTCCCGAGTCACTGCTATCCCTTGCAGCTTCTGCTCGTACCTGAGTCTGCACGTCTCTCTCAAGGACACCCCACTGAAAGCCTGGTAGCAAAGCCGCTTTCCAAATGTGTCCTCTGACAAGGAGAACAGGTCTTACAAACACGCAAACAATGTTGCCATGAAAATAAGAATACTCACTGATGTCTGAATCCTGGAGGAATCAAGAGATAGACAAAGGTCAATGTTTCAATTCTGCTTACAAAGGAATAATTGCTCTAATTCACAGGTTGCTAAAGAAAAAACGTTTCTTTATGTCTAGAAAAACAAAAAAAAGTGTCAGGTTGGAGACGCATAGCCAGGTGTTAGAGCAAACTAGAATTCAACACCTGGTCCAGTTTGGCTGTGTGAACAAAACCTCCAGAGAGCAGGTTTGCTCAGTGGTGACAGCGTTGGCCTGAGGACTGAAGGGTCCCGGGTCTGACTGTGGTCAAAGGCACAGGTGAGGATTAACAGTAATGCCAAAAAAAAAAAAAAAAAGATATTAGAATCTAATATCCAGAAAGGTGTATTAATTCTCTCTAAATAACCCTCGGTTTTACCAGATATAGCAAAGACCAATTTGTTTGTGAAATAAATGTAGTTCCAATCACGTTGCTTGTTATTTACATAGGAACAGCAAGAGTGGCAAGTAACCGTATTGCTTTTAAAAATCTGTTTTACCCAGCTGGTGTGGCTCAGTGGGCACGATTCAATTTCTGGTTGTGGGCTCGATCCCCATGGGGGACATGCAGGAGGCAGCCATCAATGATTCTCTCCCATTGTTGATGTTTCCATCTCTCCCTCTCTCTTTCCCTCTGAAATAAATTTTTAAAAAATTAAAAATCTGCTTTGCTGGAATTTGTCATAAGGAATCTTCTTAAGGAACTTTAATGGCCCCTGAGGCCAGAAAAGCCACAGCAAGGACTTGTCAGCAGACAAATCTATAGGTTTGGCGAGTTCCTCTCTTCTTGAGGTCCCCAGAGTAACTGAGGCCCTGCACCTGCCAGGAAGTGGCCTTCGCCACTCATCCGATAAAGCTTCCGAGATGCTGCGAGGGTCTGGCTGGCGGTGCCAACGGCTTCGTTGGTTTTCCCGAGTCACTGCTATCCCTTGCAGCTTCTGCTCGTACCTGAGTCTGCACGTCTCTCTCAAGGACACCCCACTGAAAGCCTGGTAGCAAAGCCGCTTTCCAAATGTGTCCTCTGACAAGGAGAACAGGTCTTACAAACACGCAAACAATGTTGCCATGAAAATAAGAATACTCACTGATGTCTGAATCCTGGAGGAATCAAGAGATAGACAAAGGTCAATGTTTCAATTCTGCTTACAAAGGAATAATTGCTCTAATTCACAGGTTGCTAAAGAAAAAACGTTTATGTCTAGAAAAACAAAAAAGTAAAGAAGCAGCAATATTTCAAATAAAAAGTCATAAAAATTGTAATCATTCAGTCCCAGGTTATTAATTCTTGTTGGTCTTGTTCTTTTTGTTAACTTTGAGGAATACAGGTTTTTAAAAATAAATTTGTATTGATTTCAGAGAAGAAGGGAGAGGGAGAGAGAGAAACATCAATGATGACAGAGAATCATTGATCGGCTGCCTCCTGCACGCCCCCCACTGGGGACCTAGTGGGAATCCCAGGCATGTGCCCTTGACCAGAATCGAACCTGGGACCCTTCAGTCCGCAGGCTGGCGCTGTGTCCACTGAGCCAAATTGGCTAGGGCTCCAGTTTTTCGTTAAGAGTTTTGCAAACCCTCATCCAGTCCTGAGGTATAGTCTAACAGTTAAGCAGAAATGTGTATTTTAGCCAAGACCGGTTTGGCTCAATGGATAGAGCGTCGGCTTGGGGACTGAAGGGTTCGATTCCAGTCAAGGGCATATACCTTGGTTGCGGGCATATCCTCAGTAGGGGGTGTGCAAGAGGCAGCTGATCGATGACTCTCATTGATGTTTCTAGCTCTCTATCCCTTCCTCTCTGTACAAAATCAATAAAATATATTTTTTTTTAAAAAAAGAAAGAAATGTGTATTTTTGAGGAATCTCTCTGAAGATGAAACAAAAATCAGAGTAAACCGGCAACTCTGTAAATGACAGAATGATGTGGTTAAAGGTCTGACCACAATGCAGTTGACAAAAATTTGCTTTTCTCTGCAACACACATTTTGAGATAACTGAAATTGCAAATGAAAACATCGTATCAGAATATTGTAGGTTCCTAGATTTTTAATACAATTTCTAGAACATTTATTTTAATAAGATTGATATTACATACAAGTATAACATTGTTTCTTATTTGACAATTCTTCCCATGTAATTTTAGCAACTCAAAGACCTAATATGCAGACCTAATTTGTTTATTTTCCTTCTTGTTTTGTTTTTAACTGTGTTTGTTGAGAAGGGAGAGAGAGAAACGGCAAAGATGAGAATCAGTCCGCTGCCTCCTGCATGCCCCACAGGGGACCAAGCCCCAGCCTGGCATGTGCCCTGGCCCAGCCGAGCCAGACCTCCTGGTTCACGGGCTGCTTCCCTCCTGTAAAGAGGGGCCTCCGTTAGGAGGCGTCATGGATTTTCTTTAAAAATCACAAAAGTTATGTTTAGGTTAAGAAAGGACCCCAGTCGGGACCGGTTTGGCTCAGTGGATAGAGCGTCGGCCTGCGGACTACAAGGTCCCAGGTTCGATTCCGGTCAAGGGCATGTACCTTGGTTGCGGGCACATCCCCTGGGGGGGGGGGGTGCAGGAGGCGGCTGGTCGATGTTTCTCTCTCATCGACGTTTCTAACTCTCTGTACCTCTCAATTCCTCTCTGTGTAAATCAATAAAATATATTTTTTAAAAAAGAAATAAAGAAATTTTTTAATTTTGGGAAGTATATCAAACATTTCAAAAGCTTAAAAGTAACTGGTCAGCTTTCTGAGGGCGTTGCGGGGCGGGCTCCCGGGGGCCCCGGCTGAAGACGGAGGGACAGTATCCGCGGGACGGGCGGG